GCTAGGGGGGGGTGCATGGTTAGAATTAAATAGAAATGGTCATCACTAACTTTTACATGTCCTAAGTCCACAAGTTTCTCACGCTGGAAACCCGAGGTTGAGAACGGTGGCACAGTCGACGAAGTTGGCTACCTCCTGCAGGCATCCGTAGGGGGTTCACAAAATTCGGATCCCTTTTCGGGGGTCCTGGGATCCACCAGGCGGGCCGTTCACTGTTGAGAGTGAAAGGCGCTTACGGCTTCAATCTCGGCAGCCTCCTGCAAGGGTCTGGGCTGGTATGCTCTATATTGTAGTACTACCAGAAATCGCAGCCCCATGGTCTTTGAGCCGGATACAAATTTCCCGCTCGGCTTACAGCCTGGCACAGGGTCCAGGTTCCAGGCATGTGACTAGCTGCAAGCTCTCGAGATTGAGGCACGGGTATCGAGATTTCAAACTTCTACTCGTCCATCATGCGATTTCGTATTGTGGTATTGGCCGTTGTCAGCATGACGACCAACATGCATGTATCACAACAACAACGACGACTACTACTTTTCTGCTGGTTGTTTATGAGCATGAACTGTGTCACTTTGGTGGTGTCGTCCCATTGGAACCAACACTGTCATTCATACTGTTTGCGACGCTAGTCTTGGATTTTCTTGTCTTCGCCGTGGTGGTGTGAGTCGGTATGAGCCTTGTTCTTGCACACTGTCTGTTTCTTGTTTTAAAATGACAGATATAACCTATAAGTCCCGGTGAACAAGGGATTTGGGCTCGGGGAAAGAAGTAACCACTCCACCGTCCCGCCTCTCTGCCCTGATGCCATGGTGTTCCGCGTCTGGAGTATTGCGGGCAAGGAGCTTGCTGCCATGAACCCCTCGGAGTTGAAGGATGTGAAAACCCTGAAGCGCCAGCTGCGTAGACCGACTGGTTATCGGTGGTAAAGCATACATACTACAGAGTACGTGGGAATCGGTAGAGCATAGGACGCGGCCGCAGATAGTAGGTAGTATGTCGTCAGAAAAGTAGGAGCAGCAGCAGGATAGGGGTACTAGCAGCAGTAGCAGGAGGAGGAGGAGCAGTAGCAAGTAGCAGGACCAACAGGACTAGAAGTGAATGGAAGGCTCGGGAGAATGACCTAGAGGCCACCTCGTACCATCCCAAGTTCACTTTCTCGGCGAGACTGTCGATTGTAAGACGCCCAGACTTTCTGAGATTCGAGTTTTGCCTGATAGCTGTGCGAGGGCAGGCAAGGGTCAAGACTTCTGCTGGGAGCCATGGCTCGCCGAGGTCGACTGCATGGATATCCCCTTTGCCTTCAGCAGCTGCTACACAACGGCAATGCTCTGGAGGACGCTGCCAAACTGGATGAGGCTATGACCGTGCAGTTGGTGCTGTTAGCCGTTTGCGATACTGCGCAGGCCCGTGCAAATATGGATGAGGTTGCAGACGAGCTGGTTGAGTATGCCGCTGGGCTCGGGAATGTAGAGACTCTATGCTTGCTGTTGGAGGCCGGTGTTGACACGGACATCGTTGGCGGCCGGGGATGCACCGCTCTGATTTTAGCATCTTCCCAAGGCCACACCGAGATAGCGCGGTTGCTATTGGCGGCCGGGGCAGACGAGAGAAAGGTGGATAGGTACGGTTGGACAGCCTTGGTTCACGCCTCTGAGGAAGGGCATCTTGAGACCGTCCGAGAGTTACTCGAGGCCAGCAGCGGGAGCGACGACTGTGGAGCTGCCCTGATTCGTGCATGTGAGAAGGGTCATATAGCGATTGCACGCATGCTCGTGGCTTCTGGTAGAGGCACGGCTTCCTTTCGCCAAGGTGGTGCCTGTGCCTTGGTTTCTGCAGCCGACAATGGCCACCTGGAGATCGCGAAGCTGCTTTTGGAAAGCGGATTTGACATTGACGCTACCGACGAGGATGACCACACAGCATTGAGTTGCGCATCACACAGAGGCCACACTGAAGTTGCCCACATGCTGCTGCAAGCCTGCGCAGACCCCGATATTTTGAACCACTTCGGGCGTACGGCTCTTATATGCGCTTCTGATCGGGGGAATGTTGAAAGTGCCGGGCTGCTGTTACAAGCAAGGGCCAACGTGAACGTTGCGGACAAGGATGGGGACACTGCTCTCATTCGTGCGTCTGAGCAAGGCCATGTTCAGACCGTCCGTTTGCTTTTGCGAGCTGGCATTGACACAAATATTTCCAATAGCCTCCGTCACACGTCTATTCACTACGCATCTGAAAATGGCGATGACGAGACTGTCCGTTTGCTGTTGGAGGCGAGGGCCGATCCCGGCACCGCCCTTGTAGTTGCATGTCATGGGGGACACATTGATATTACTCGTATGCTGCTTCATGCAGGGGCTCACACGGAGCTTGTGCACCGTCACTACACAGCTCTTTCCATGGCATCTTCCAAAGGTCACGTGCAGATTGTACGCTTGCTGCTGGATGCTGCTGCCGACACGAATACTCTTGACTCATCTGGCGAAACGGCCCTCATGGAGGCTTCCTGCAAGGGCCACGGGGACGTTGTGAAGCTGCTCTTGGGGGCGAAAGCTGACAAGGACATCGTATCCAGCTCCGGCGATACTGCTTTGTCTTACGCATCCGCCAAGAACCCTGAGATTGTGCGCCTCTTGTCACCTGATGCCAGCGAAAACTTCTCATAGCTCTTCATCGTGCGTGTCAGGGCCCCGCGCCCGTTTCAGCCGTCGGGAAAAGATGCATGAGTACCTGCAAAACCCAGAACCTCATCTGACCCAGAAAGGCGCGGCACACCAGACTCGTGAATCTTGAATCCGGACCTTGTGTCCTTCGGTTTAGGGTTCAGGCTTGAAGGTGTTTATGCTTTTTAGGTTCAGGCCCGAGTGACCCCAGTGATCTGTGTTTGCCAACCACGTAGTCGGATTCACAGGCTCTGGTCTTCGCATGGCGTAGTGTTCTCATCTTCCTATATCTTCCTAGCCCCTTAACTTTGGATCCTGAAGGCAAGCACCTAGTCACGAATGTGTAAACTGCATTCTCGAAGCTTCACAGTTCAAGCCCTGGGCCATGCAAGCCGTAGAGCCTCAATTCTGCAGCTTACAGCTTCACAAGAGGCTCATCAGTAGAACCCCCCTAGATAAGACCCCTAACCCTAAATGCAATCAGTAGAACTGCAGCTTCAAAGATTCACAGGCTGCGGCAAACGTCAATGCCGTCATGGCCCACGGAAAGACGCCCCTGCACGTGGCAATCCAGCAGTGCCCCGGGATCAAGGGTTTAGGGCTTTAGGCTTTTGCGGTTTTATGGTGCAGGTTTGGGGCTTTAGTGTTAAGGGTGAAGCACTGCTGGGTTGTGGGGATATCGGGATTTTCGGTTCAGGATTCAGGGCAAAGGCCCATCCGATACCATCTAAGCTACTCTTCGTCCTGCGAACACCTCACCATTACCCTCATGACTTCTACAAATACCCCCCTCCTCCCGCTGCTGCTCGTCTTCTTCCTCAACATCGTATCCCGCTTGCTTTCTACCACCTGCTTCTAAAGATGCTGTTGGCTCTGGTGCTCCAGCTCCAGGAATCCGACAGCGAAGCGAAAGAGCCACGTGGGCCCGAAAATGGTCGGAAAACTTTGCAGTAGGGTTTAAGGCTTAGTGCTTCCGAGTGTACGATGCTTGGCTGTGGCATTTGGGTAGACGCAGACTGCGGAGAGGTACCGGCGCATTCCGACTGTCGCCATTGGCATGCTGCCTCCTGCCTGAAATCAGCTTCGGGGCACGACTGCACGTTTCGGTGATTCGACCTAGAAGTTCATTTCCAGGGGACGCGGGTTGTCGTTCGGGGTGCGGAAATGTCAGTGTGCAGGTATGCTGCTGCAGGAATGCCCCAACCAACCTCCGAACTGAGTGGCGGATCGCTAGAACACTGCTCCGTGACTCCCATCCTACTCCAAGCTGTTCTTTAGCGTTTGGCTCTAGAAGTTCTAGGTTTCGAGTTTGAGTTGTGCATGCTATCCCTGCGTCCCCAGGGTTTCGTGTTCAGGGTTTAGGGCATAAGCTTCAACTCGAGCTCCTGAACTTGCAAACGCCCAAGGGCGACAGCCCTTCTGCCACAAGTAAACCCTTGAGCCCGAAAGTCCTAAACCAGAGCCTGGTAGTGTTTTCTACGAGCCCCCCTCGTCCGACACTCGAAGGCTTTGCAGCAAAGCAAACCCGGAGGCCAAAGATACCAGGCCTGAGAGCAAGGTTGAGGGGTTTTTACACTTAGGCTTTAGAGTTTTTGGGGTCGCGGCTTACGAGAACCTTTTGGGCAAGGGTTTATCATGTTTCTGTGTAGTATGGGGTGGGTGAGATGATAGGTGGAAGGATTCCGGTTAGATAATAACGCCTGCAAGAAATTCGGGACCTGAAGCAAGACCCATGCTCCTCCCATCACAAACCCCTAGACAAAACCTGACACTCCTAGAGTAGGGCTTGGCATACAATATGTTCCTGTTGAAACATCCCAAGTGTGGAGAGTGTTCGGGGGGGGGGGGGGGTGGTTGGTGACTGTCGGGCTTTGGATTTCTGTTTATGCCACTGGCAGATGGGCTGGCGCTACTCCCTAAACCCTAAACCTCAAGCCACTTTTCAAGCATGCTGATTAGGGGTTTCAATCGAGCGGGGAGGTCTTGTAGTAGCCTTTGGCCATTCCATCGATCCGAGCACAGACGATGATTCCCGGATCCGGCAAGCTCCTCAAGCAACGACTCAGAATCACAGGTCAGTTTTTGTATATTGCCGCTAAACCACAAACTTACAACCGGGTTCAGGGGTTGGGATTATCATAGAGGAAGGAGTTGGCGACCTGTATTCTCAACCAAAGTGGGAGGCTTCGGATGTTGCCGTACTTCGGCCCATGCCGTGAACTGATTGCCCTTACCATACTTGACATGAAATCCGAAATAGCGCCCGTCTGAAAGGCAAGTGGTCTTGTAGGTAGCTGGTTTATGCGATCAAGCCAACAGTGCATGATAGACGACGGGTACACAAGAAAGTTGCTGCAGGGATCTGGGCTTTCTAAGCTGCAATACTAGACTGGCTTCTTGACGTGGCCAGAGACTCACAAACCAACAAGACTCCCATATCTAGACCCCACACCCCCAACCCAAACCCTAAACTGCAAATCTGTGATCCTGAAACCCCAAAGCCTGAACGTCTAACTTCCACTTTGATGTTTCTTGGGTCAGTTAAGTTTGACTGCGGGGGCCTGATCTCTTTGTCTTGGGGTTTGCGTGACCTGGGACCTGCGGTTGGAGACCCACATCCTGAACTCTCTTTAACCTTCAATATTTTTTTAAATGTATTTCCAGATTTTTGTTCTGTTATATGCAGTCATGTATAGTTTTAGCCTTCAGTCCTCAGTCTTCCATCGTGTTAGTCTTAGCATCTTGGTTTTGCCTTTCCGGACGGTTTCGGTAAGCCGGAGCCAGACGAACCTCTTCTTGAAGACTCGCCGAAACTTCGAGCCCTTCTTTCGGATCTGTATAGTATTCCTCACTTCGTTGAGCAAATCTAGACGTGATGTCCAGGCTTCGGCTGTTGGCTTGTCGTGGTGTTGGGCCTCCTCTGCTTTCGGATGCTTTGGTATATCCGGAACCTCAAGGCAGATACAGGTCTTCGCCTTAAAGCCCGTGGCCCTAAACCTGAGAGAACACCGCTGGAACCACGATCGCAAGCAAAATAGCAAGAACAAGAATTATGAGAATAAGAACAAGACTGGGAGCAAGAGTCAGAGTAACAGTAAGAGCATGAGTGAAAGTAAGAAGAATAATGTTATAATCACAATAGTAAGGAGAATATTTGCGAGAAGAAGAAGAAGACTGATAATATCATTAATATTCCTATTACTGGTTGTATCAAGATTAACTTTGTAATATCGCTAATAACAATAACAACAATAACAATTTTAACAAGAATAATGGTGATAGTGGTGGTGAGAGTGATGAGAACAGTGTTAATCCAAATTTGTTAACCTTAATATTCGTATCAGTTTTTATATTCACATTAGTGTTGAAATTAGTTCTGATATCAATACTCATATTAAGATGAATACCAACACTAGTATGAATGCCACCGACTAATAAGAATATTCGTTATTCGTGTCAGTTACTAAATAATGATTCGAGTTTTTAACATTCATTAGCGCAATAACTATTAACATTAACAACTGTTAGTATCTGCATCGTGTTGGTATTAATATTCAGTTAAATGAATAACTATTAATATTGTTATTTGACAATCTTACTTGATATTACTGATAAGAACAAGAATAAGAATACGAAGAATCGTGACAAACAACAATACGAACATAATTACAGCAATAACCATAACACCAATGATAATAGTAACATACAAATATTTAATGACATAAAATAACGCATGAGTTTCTCTCTCTCTCTATAGATGCCTACAGTTATATGTATATAGATACAGACATATTATATATGGTGTTATATATATATATATGTATATCTTTAGCCGCACAACCGACCACCGACCAGCCGTGTCCAGTTCGCGAACACCGATGGACCTCATCAAGCAGGTCTTTGCTCAGCCGGGCGCCCAGTCTGTTTGGTTATTAGACAGGGTTCGCGGCTTCAATGTTTAAGGTTTCGGGGGTTCCAGGATGAGTGCTTCAGGGGAGAACTCTAAACCCCACCCAACACTCCAAGAGAATTGCATCCCTTGATCTGAATCAGGCTTTCTGCAAGGGGCCCCGACAACCAGCCGTTGCTCTCCCCGGCGGACAGCACAAAGGCGGGGCCACGAGAGAAGTGGAGTTCAGGATGCAGCCCATATGGGGGCCTTCAGAGGTAGAATCGTGCATTGCGGCCATCCTTACAGTATAGTGACACCAAGGAGCTGAGGAGTAAAATCGCTGACTATTAGGCTTGAGCCCTTAGCCCAATACGCTCAAGCCAAGAGTCTTAAAGACCCTAAACTTTCAGACCTCACACCCCAAACTCTCGGTGGAAAGATCCACTCCGAATGAACTCGGGCTTCGGCTTGGTGCTGGATGCCTCCAGAAGAGCTTAGCTCTTTCGCAGGGTGCCTAGCAACAGCCACAACTGCTCACAGTGACGACAACTACCTTCCTGTTGTCCCTAAACCCCAAAAGCTGAACCTTAATTTTAATTTCTTTCGCGAAAACACAGATCCTTCGAGACTGGACTCTTGTGCAGGCGCGACAGCTGTTGTCCTTGGTCATGGACCAAAGGATGGTAGCTTTCAACCTTGAGAGTCAGGCGCAGTGTCAGTGCTGGGTCTCCACTTACGGGCTGAAGGCTCGAGATGTTAGAGTTTTGGGATTCTCAGGTCCGTGGAGAGGGTCGGGGTTGGATATTTCAGCCTGACATTAGGGTTTCGCTTGTCGGCTGCAGATCCCATTTAGGACTCTCCATGGCTTCGTAGACAGCTGAGAAACCTTGATCCCGACCAGAGAGGCCCAAGACCAAAAGGTCCTATGCAAGACCCTGGAGCTCTGAACAACTTTCGCCACCAAAGCCTTGAATCCGAGAGGGGGGCCTGAATACAGAGGCCTGGGCATCTGTATTGGGTCTTCTCCGTCTTCTGCCCCGACACAAACTCTGTGAGTAGCTCCTTCTGCTTGGCAGGAAGTGCAGGGTGTGCACTTTGCGGACGGTCCCCG